TCTGTGTAGGAGCTGAGCCAAGCTGTGCTCCAGGCTCTTCTAGCCAGGGGAAGTGATAGAGGAGGGAGGGGATAGGAGCCAAGACTCCAGCATTCTATCCCCAGCTCTGGGAGAGAAATGGAGTCTGGTGTCTGCAGCTGGGAGCCAGGACTCCTGGTGTCCCTAGGTCTGGCATGGGAGGGAGGTATAGCAGTGAGAGCATTTTGAGGGTGAATGGACAGATCCATCTATTCCCACACATGCTATCTACACTGCAATGTTTCCCACTAGGAGACAGTGCATAGGCACACACATACAGACTCCTCCACGCAAATTCCCCTCCCCCACCACCCTCAGAGACGCTGTCTCAGGCGTCCCCTGCCCTCAGGGGACAGATGGTGCTGATGAGTCGGTGGATCCCATGGGGCACTGAGCTGCCGGGGTGACCTGCCATGGATGAGAGGGGTGACTGAACCCCACCGCTAGGATGGTCAGAGGTCCCATTTTTAAAGGGACAGTCTCCTTGTTTTTTTCCAAAACGGGTCCCGCTGGGGACTCTTGTACATTTGAAAGGAGGAACGCGGAAGTGCCTATCGACTAATTGAGCAGTCCATGGAAATTACATCAACTACGTGTCTAGTCAATTAACTGCAATGTAACATCCTTAATACAGATCCCCCCCTGCCACCTATAGAGACACTGCCTCAGGCGTCCCCCGCCCTTGTAAAGCCGCAGTTCACAGAGGATCCTTTATTGCTACACTACACTCAGCGCTGGCTGCGGGGGCGCCTGCTGGTTGGGGCAGCAGCCTGGATCCTTCCAGCAGCTGGAATGGGTCGCATGATGCCCAGCAGGGTTGAGGAAGGGACCCTCCAAGCCAGGCAGGGGGTCATGTGGAGAAGACACGGCGTGGCCCGAGCAGGGAGCCTGGCTGTGGTGTTTGGTGGGGATGGGCCTCGGGAGGGGGCTCAGGTAGGGTGGGGGCAGAGATCTGAGGTTTGCAAACGGGGCACATGACTCCTGAGCTGGAGGCTTACAGCCAGCAGTCGCTGCTGCTCTCGGTGGGGACCCCCGTCACCTTGAAATCATTCACTTGGAAGACCCAGCGCCCTGGAACCCCGACGTTGCTCGTCTGCCCGATGCGGAGGACAGCCTCCGTGCGGGAACCCGGGATGTTGTAGAAGTTTTTGTTGTCACCGCTGTTGAACCCGGCCTGACGGCGGAGACACGGGGAGCAAATGAAGTTAGTGCACTTGCCTGTCACTGGGGTAGTGGGGGCAGCACTGACTGAGCAGAGTCCCCGTATCTTTCCATGCAGCCCAGTGCCCCATCTGAGTCCCCCCACCACTCCCTGCAGCCCAGCACCCCCTGCTGAGCCCCCACTCTGCTTTGCATAGCCCAGCACCCCCGGATGAGCCCTCACCCAGCTACCGGCAGCCCAGCACCCCCTGCTGAGTCGCCAACTGATCCCCACTGCACAGTGATCCTGATGATCCCCCTCTCTGCTCCCCCTTGGCCCAGCACTCCCTGCTGGGCTCCTCCCACCCTGCTCCCCACAGCCCAGCACCCCACGTTCTCATGTGAGCTGTGTAACGGGACCTACCTGGGCGGGTTTACCCCCTAGGCCGGTGGTGGCGTTTCCGCCACTCGCCGTGCCTGTGGTCCACTGGATCATTCCATAGTTCAGCATGATGAAGGTGACTTGGCCGTCGTTTGCCAGCACGGCCTGGAACGTGTTCACCTGTAGCAGAGAGGGAGGAGACCCAGGTGAGGGAGACCATGGGAGCTGCATAGACATGGGAACCACAGGGTCCAGCACCCCGCTAGCCATTCCCCTGGAAAGCCCCTGATTGGTGACTATGGCAGTGAAGCCCAGCAGTTGCACAGTTTGTCTGGGGCTTTGTCTAGACTGCAGGCTTCTTTCGGAAGAAGCTTTTCTGGAAGAGATCTTCAGGAAAAACTTTGTCCAAAAGAGAGCGTCCACACTGCCAAAGTGCATCGAAAAAGCAATCTGCTTTTTCCACACTGAATAGACGCTCTCTCGCACATAAGCTGTGGTTACTACAGGCAGAGTGACCACCAGGGCACCTGTGCTTTTTCCTCTTTCCTCTTCTTCTAAAAGAACTCCCTCTTCCCCATCCACACACACCTTTTTCCAAAGAGCTCTTTCGCAAAAAGGCTTCTTCCTTGTAGAAAGAGGTTTACCGATGTTGGAAAAAACCATCTGCTCTTTTGATTTTCTTTCAAAAGAAGGCGACTGTAGAGTGGATGTAAGTGCAGTTTTTTCAGAAAAGCTCTGCAGTATAGACATAACCTGGGTCTAGCAGCCCCACCAGCTAGTCTCCCTCCTGCCTCTCCCCCCCCCCGGT